CCCCCCCCCTCGTACTCGTTCCACGTACACTAGCTGCTGTATGTATATTGGCTATTAATGAAATTCCATTGTTGAAAAAATGTAAAATATATATGCGCGCGGCTCAGGCTTTCTTTCTCTTCGGTATACAGGTAGTAGTAGTAGGAGCTACGCGTGACTGAACTTTTAATAAATCCAACTATGAAAATTCGTATACACACAGAGAGAAAGAAGCGAAGTAAATACGCTGAAAAGCCTGTCGAAAATCATATACGCTTTAACGTTCACTCGAGGCGAATGCAAAATCAAAAGATAAGAATAAAAATGTATAGGAAGCGAGGACGAGAGGCAGACATGGATAATAGAAAACATTTTACATATAGTCGGGCGACGAGAAAAGCACTTGATCTACTTTGAGACGCGCGTCGAGCGCGCAGTTATGTGTGCCCGTGTTCTCGAGATTCAAAGTACACATAATGCAATGCGCGGAAATGATTTAGACAAAAGCTATATTATGATCAGAATATAGAATTTCGTGTGCGTTGCGCACATGCTTAATAAATAAATCGTAAACGTGCTTAACTCTCGGTATAAATTGTGACATCTTTTTTTGACTCGGAGGAAAAGAATTATCGCTTCTGGTTCGCATTTACACATAAACAGCCGAATGTTGTTTCAAGTCGCGAGCTCGTATACTATATGAGCACGCGCGATCGTGCCCTGAAACTCTCTTTGCTTTGGCCCTTCGCAGTATTAGCTTTATCGAGTTTCCCGCGTGCACAGCCACCCGAGCTCTCGTATGGGGTTGCAACTTTACCATACGCGCGCGTATCCATCCTGTTGCCGCTGTATGCATACTCGCAACCTCGTAGCGCTCGAGATAAAACTTTTTCGCTTGCTGATACGCGGATACTATTTATTATTGTTAATATAGGAGAAATTCTTCTAAAATATTCAGCGCCAGGGCTGAATATTTTCACAGGGCGGGGCGAGGAAGGGGATAGCTGCACACACGCGCGTGTGCTATGTAGACACAGTGCAAGCTCTGACCCTCAAACGCCTGGCCAGTCTCTCAAACGTGACCTCGTTACCCGCATGCCCGCACTTGCATGCGAATGATGCAACAACTACTACACAACTATATATGTATGTACGCACATACGTGCCGCCAGCTCCTCTGTGATGCTGCTGCCTTGTACACATATTATAAGCAGCGGCAGCATCAGACAGAGCTGCTACAGCGCGTCGGAGGCGTCGCGCACATATACGCGCTTAAACGTGAATTTATAACTATTCTCTCAATCCCCGATTATTATCATCATTATTATCGTTATAGGTCCGTCGAAATCATTTATCGTCGCTGGCATTATACAGCCAAATTGTATGTGCGCGCGATGGCTGAATGTATATTTAGAGTGAGAGGATCTTCTGAACTTAATGCACTCTTGAATTGAATGCAACAGCAGCAGCAGCAGAGCAGTGTTAGTAGTAGTAGCACGAGCAGTAGCATGAGCCCAGTTTAGGCAGTTGGGCTGCTGCATGTCGTGCATTGCAGCTTGTTTGATACATGCACGCGTGCCCCGTAGTTTCTCTGTAGGCTATATTATGCACTTTATAATTTATGCATGCGTATACTTGTTTATTAAATCACTCGCATTTATTATATATGTGTTCTAAGCGCACACAGAGATAGAGTGAGTAAAAGCCACTCGGCCTAGTAAACATATCACAGAGATTTTATTTTCTTCGTAATAACATTGTAATTGGGAAAATCTGTTTCTGTAAATTTCATCGGATTGTTAGAGCTTCAACAAAACGAGGAGCAAATGAAATTTCAAATAATGCAAATCACTTTCAGTATCACTTTTACGTTATATTTACGAAGGGAACACGATATCATAATGGTGTTTCGCGTTATGTACTTGAAAAAATACACACCTGTGAAATGTTATCTCTTTCTCTCTCTATTTCTGTCTCTCTTCTTTCTGGCACTCGCTTATTTACTTTTTTTTTCACTGCTTTCGTAAATAATGAGTGTACGCGTGCGTTAACGACTAAATGCCGAGCTGTTTATCATATTTCGAAAGCTCGCATTCGAAACGAGTAATTTTCTTTCGAAATTTACACAACCGCGTAATCGAGAGATAACGATATTTTTTCCCGTTGTACGCAAAATACGCAAAAAATTTGCGTGCAGCATTATTTGCTCGCGCCAATGAAAAAGAATAAATCAGATAACCCAGCTGTTTCTGATCTCGAACGATGTCTGCCTAATTCACAATGTTTCCTCTGACCGATTCTGTCGCTCGCTTTCTCGCGTTCTTTTGCGACGCGGGGTCACACTGCACTGCTGCTCCAGCGCTCGTCGAGCTCGCTTTTATTACTTTCGCTTTGACACACAGAAACTTTGCTCCTACGGAAG